GCAAAACAACCAGAAGAAGGAGACACAAACAAACATACGGAGACAAAGAGAGACATTACAAGAGACCGTAGATACTGACAGTGATGAGGAAGGTGCTCTTGTCTGGAGGTCTCCTCGCCTACAGATCCGTGAGGACAGCAGACCTCAGGGGCACATTTCCGAGTTTGAGCCAGAGCGGCAGCCGGAACAACCCCGAGCAGGGGACACTCATCACTTTGATGACTGGACCCCGGAAGCAGACGAAGATGGCCCGCCGGCAGCAGAGGATGAAGCACATCGGGAGCAGCTCAGCGACCATCCTCGGGATGGAGACACGCCCAAGCAGAGAGACAGAGACTCTAATGGTGTGCCGTGGCCAGCATCTTCATCCCACATCCACCCACAGAGAGAGCGGCGGCGGCCCCAGGTCCTCTCCTACGACCAGCTCGGACATCCTACCAGGAGACCAGTGGGTATGGACTGCGTCGATGTGAGTGTTCCACCCCCATGCTCACAGAGCCTCTGGAGACCGTGGACATCAAGCACCATGCAAGCAGCGTATGGAAGACTAAGATAGTGATATGCACTCTATAAGACTGTGATGAGAAATGCTAATGTTTCAGAGGACACTGAAGTGCAATTCATAGAGACTAAGTGGAGTATATTACTTATGTCAACAGTGTCTCCATTTAAACAATGTGGTAATATGGTAACAGACAGAGTGACAAAGTTGGCTGTGTATGTGTCTGGTTACAGAGATATAAGTAGTGATCACTGTAAGGTGAACTTGTTTATTCATTGGGAGAAACTCCATGTGGTTATTCCTACAGTACCTTTGGTGTTATTTGGTATGGGGAAAAGTTACTTCTTACCAGTGGTACCAGAAGGAGGATGTGTATGTGTATATATATATATTTATACACACCATATAAGCTTAAGGGACACTGTGTTGGATAGTACAGCGTGGTTGATATTTAAAAAAAAAAATTGATAAAGTTTTTTTTTCTTTTAATAAGCAGGGGAGGGTGTGGCACCCAGGACTATTTGATCATAAAAAGGCACCCCCCCAACAACTGTTCGGTTCATTTCTGGTGTTTAAATGATTTTTGCTGTGTGGCACTCCCTCACATTGACTCGCGACATTGACCAGTAACCTCGGGTGCTATACCGATTTACGCCAGTAGTGGTGCATGAGAGA